CTCTCGGATCTTTGCGCGGACGCCGTGCAGGTAAAGTCAGCGCTGGCGCTCCTGGAGCCCAGCGCACTGGCCGCCTGGCTGCTGTGGCAGCTGAGACACGAGCAGGGCCCGGAGGCCGACGGGGCGCTGACCGCTGCCGCCGCAGCGGCAGCCGCGGCTGCCGCAGACGCTGCCGCGGAGCTATTCAGCCCCGCGGGTGATTGGTACAGTCCCGGGTGTCTGAAGCTGCACAGGAGCTCTGGTCGGGAGTAGGGATGGGAGAGGGCTCGGAAGGTGTCGAGGGGGCGGATGGAGGTGGCGAAGGGGGACGAGGCGGCTCCGGAGGCGGCGGCGGCCGCTGCTGCAGCCGTGACACCGACGTGCGGGTAGTAGTGAAGAGGCATGTGCGAGTGGAACGGATAGGGGAGACTTCCTGTGGCGGCCGCGTGCGTCATCATGTAGGTGTAGAAGCTGGGGTCTGCTGGATGGGGCCAGGACATCGCCAAACGCTGCCTTTTATCTTTCATCCTCCGGTTCTGGAACCACACCTACACACAAGAACAAGGTCCGTGATGAGGCTGACATGTTGTTCAAGAGCAGCAAACACACACACACACACACACACACACACACACACACACACACACACACACACACACACACACACACACACACACACACACACACACACACACGCACACACACACACACACACACACACACACACACACACACACACACCTGCACAGATCCAAAAGTCTTTCAACAAATTGCAAAAAACACAAAAGACACGAAAATCCACAATAATTTAAACATTTTCGTTAATTTATGGTTATTTTTAAGGATTCTTGCAGTTAATAAATGTTACAACTGTTGAATGAATTGCTTAAATATCTGTATTTTTGTACTAAGTCAATAAATATATTTAAATATAGTCCAAGCTTCATTTTCAAATGCATATACTGTATCTGCAACTTCGTGATTTTATTCTGCAGCAACAACAATAATCTTTATAATAACATTAATTAGAAAAATAAATATACCTTAATAGTAGTTTCGGGCAGATTTAGCGCTGCGGCTAGTTCACATCTTCTCGGCCTGGAAACGTAATTTTCCCTGTAAAATTCCTTTTCCAGACGTCCGATTTGTTCCCGAGTGAAAGCAGTCCGATACCTCCTGACCTGGTCGGAGTTGGAGTTGTTTGATCCTCCCGTTGAGTGCCCGTTCATGTTGGAGAGGGAGTTGGAGCTCGCGTTGGAGGAAGCAGAATTACTGTCTGAAAAACCTAAATAATAATAATAATTGTTATTATTATCAAATGGAAATTTTTAAGTTTAACATCAGTGAGACCTTGTGGAAATAAACATTCAATAATTGTAGGATTTAGGATTACATTTGTGGAAAATATTATTTTAATGATAAGATCATTTTAATTCTATGATTTAATAATACACATATAATGTATATATTCATATAATTACATGGGATGGAAATAAAACATAATTATGTGAAGTTTGCTGCTTTTTTCACGAGGACAAACGACAGATTATATCATGTTTACCTTTGTTGTTTTCCTTGTGTTGGCTCGGGGAGCGGTGCGCGGGGCATCCCACCTCCACGTCGCTGTTAATATCAGATTCTTGGGAAACTTCGGAGTAAAGACTCATTTTCTTCCTGCTTTCCGAAGAGGAAATATCCGCGGAAGACGTGTTCTCGCTGTTGTGGTGCGTCCCGAAAAGGCTGTCGATCTCAAACTTGCTTTTCGTCGGGATGTCCCCGAGATTCCCATGAAGAGAGGCAGAAGTTATTTTAGGGCTGAGCCGCCCGCCGTGCTGCGAGTTTTCCAGGGCCTCCAGGACGGAATTCCCCGGCGCGTCCGCCAGCCTCTTCCCCGCGACAGGACTGTGCAGCCCTCTCTCCATCAGTATCATCTCTTTTCTTATTCTCTCCATCATCGATGCCACGCAAACGCGAGAGAAGAAGAGGGCGAAAGAAAATGAAAAAGAAAAAGTGGCGCACGGATGTGTTGCGTCAGAGCTAAATCCGCATGCAACTGCCTGAATAAGTGTCTCTAAAGCTTTTTATAAGCAAGACGCACAGAAAAGATGAAATAACGCAATCGAGGAGCATCAAAACGAGCCGCGCATCCTCCCCTCAGTAGCCAAGTGTCATTCATCAAAAAGTGCTTGTTTCGTTGTTAGAATGCGGCGCTGACGTCTCTCCAATGATCATTTATTGTAACAGGTTTATAAGCAAATAAATAGGAGAGGGCTGTCACTTGATGATGGAGGCGGCCTTCGGTCAGACGAATAATATCCAAGAGGAGAGGAGGAGAGGAGTGAGGAGCGAGGTGCGCGTCCCTGGCTTGATCTCTGAGTCTGTTTCAGATTGCTCTTGGGTTTGGCCTCTGGGGGGAAATTGACAGTCTGATTAATAAAATGAGCGGCGCAGTGTTTCCCTCTTCATTTAGGAATATTATTATGCTTTGATTCTCTATTGTTTGCATCCTCTCCCTCTCTCTCTCTCTCTCTCTCTCTCTCTCTCTCTCTCTCTCTCTCTTCGCCCTCCCCCTTGTGTCTAATCGCCTTTCCTTTATTTATTTCCTTTCCTTTTTTAATTTCTGCACAATTTCTGGGACTTGATCTGTCTGATGTGAGTTTTAAGGCTGGGAGTACGGATTTACCATGTATTTACTTCCCCCTGAATCACAGAGAGCAGTGATGAATTTGTTTTTATGTTTTTACTTTGTTGCTTTTATTTTATTTGATCTTTTGTTTCTATTTTCTCAATGGAACAGGTTTTATGGGTTAAGGACGCAGTAATCTGTGGAGATAGTTTGGGTATTTCTGCTCTTTTACCCGACATTCCCCTAAAAAAAACAAAATGCCGTAGAGCTATATAAAAAGTAGATTTAGATTTTAATAAAAATAAATATTATAGTTTATGTAAATAAGAAACTGTATTTTTTGATAGTCTTATTTATTTAAGCTATTGAAAGTAGTCTAATTTGTAACAGTTGATTTCTTATTTATTTTGCTCATTTGAGTTTATATAAATGCAAAATTGAACGAACTCTTCAAATTTAAGACTCAAAATATGAACTTTTCGTCCATTTAGATTTAAACTAGCTTTTTATAAATGATAATATATTTATTTATAAATTTGTACTCGTTTTAAATAATGTCACCGTCTTTTTTTATTGTCATTTAACTTTAACAAAGGAATTACCAGCTCATGAGTCTAACATAAACGCAAACGTAACACGGGCTCCAGCTTCAAAATGTGAAAAACTAAAAAAAGAAGAAGAAAAAAAAAGGAGCAAATCTGACAATTCTTTGCCCGCCCTCTGGCGCCCCCTGCAGTCATTAGTAATAATTACCAGCCATGATTTTGGGCAGGTAAGGTCTTTCTCGGCTGGTCAGCTGGTGTTCTGACCCAGTGCTAAATCAGAACCCAAATTAGTTCCTCACATACTTCAAGAGTCAATTTAGGATTGTTTTTTAATGATTCAACTTCAGCGTCACTGAATGTTCAGTTCAGTACCTGATCATTTTCTAATTCTTGATTCACAACCACCAAAAGAGTATAATGTGGTATTTTCTGTTCAGTTTTCTTCTACTTATTGATTATTATTTTTGAATAGATTCAAGCTACAGAAATGAAAAGAAAATGCTGTGGATTGTGAAGTTTAACCGTTTTATTCTCACATTACATTTTTCAATATTTAATAAAACAAACAAGATGGATTAGACCACAAAATCCTGCCATATAAACACCAGATTATATATTATTTAAACAGAAAGCTGAAAAAGTGAAGAGAACAGAAAATGAAAATACAAAATGACATAATAATAATAATAATAATAATAATAATAATAATAATAATAATAATAATAATAATAATAATAATAATAATAAGGAAATATAGTCAGTCTGAAATAAAGTTGTTTCTCATCTTAATATAAAACAGTTAAATCCTTGAATGCCATATTTAGCTGTATTTTTATGCTGTGGTGATGGACTCAGATTGAGGAAAAATAGGCCCAACAGTTCTCGGGTTCACCATCTTTGTGATCAGTGTGCATTTGGGCGTTTAACTTTGTTTTATTGGACTCAGACTCCCTCTAGTGGTGAAATGAAGAGCTGCAAAAATGCCGTTTAAACTTCCTACGAAGTGCATTGTATAGCAACCTGCAACAACAGCAGTAAGTTACACCAATTTAGAGCAAAAAAAAAAAACAACCTTGCAGCTAAACATCCACACAAATTGTTTTGTTCATTTCATAATAAGTTATTAAGTGTGTGTAAGTTTTGTAGTTTTGGTTTTGTTCTGTTGTAAGTCATTCTGATCTCTGTTTAGAATCTTTTTGCAAGGAAATTATACAAATACACCGAATACAAAACACGGTAAACAAGGGTAAAGCACGAGTTTAGAAAAAAAGTCATACAACACAGCAAAATAGTCTGATTGAACTCAAGTTAATATTGCAGAAGAAGATGAAGAAGAAGAGGAGGAATAACAGCAGATGATGGCACGTTTTCTTACATTTCTTTTAGGGTTTTTGGGGCCATCAAGGTGCCCCAGTTCAACATCCTTACACAATATTTCACACTAGAAATTCTTATTGGGCTCATTAGCACAATTGGAACTGCATGTATCTATTTTATGAACTTTGGTCAACAGACAGAAAAGTGAGAGGACATGAGCAGTTCAAGGGGCCACACAAATTTCAGCAGGGGCCCTTTCCATTGTGGCCCCAACCCTATAACAGCCAACATATCGCAGACTTTAGATGGCATGTGCATTTTATTGTAATGTAATCAGTCATCGATCTATGTCACTACATCAATTATGGTCATCGATCCAAAATGCAAAAATCAATAGAAAAACTATTTAACAAATACAGTTTTGTGTGAAAGCAGTAGCTCAAGAGGTTGAGCAGGTTGTCCAGCAATCGGAGGGTTGCAGGATCAATCCCGGCCCCGGACATCAAATTCTGTAGTTATCAAGATACTTAACCCACCTTGCCTGCTGGTGGTGGTCAGCAGCCTCACCTCTGCCAGTGTGCCCCAGGGCAGCTGTGGCTACAATGTAGCTTATCACTATCAGTGAGTGAATGTGTGAATGATACACTGTAGAGTAAAACGCTTTGGAGTTCTCTGGCTCTGAAAGGCGCTACACAAGTGCAGGTCATTTATCATTGTCATTTTAATTTGAAAAGGTCTTTATTTTGAAATGCTGTTTACCTGCTGTTTTCCACCTGTTGCTGCACATCACCAAACGTGTTAAATGAAGATGCTGGACAATAGATTATGACAAGCTGTGAGAAAACAGTCAGGGAAGAAATCGCCTCTCCCCAGGGAATTATTGTGTTCAGTCAATCTACTGGTGGATCTTAAATCAAATCAAATAGTATTATGATGTATAAATTCAGACTGAAGGGTGTCTGGGCTCTCTCTTAGAGATAAGGTGAGAAGTTGAGTCACCCAGGAGGGGCTCGGAGTAGATCCGCTGCTCCTCACATCGAGAGAAGCCAGTTGAGGTGGCTCAAGCATTCTAGGATGTCACCCTGTTGAGGTTTTCAGTCACGTCCAACCAGGAGGAGACATAAAGGAAGACAAAGGACATGCTGGATGGATTATGTTTCTTGGCTGGCCAAGGAGTGCCTGAACTCAGACAGTCAATATGCTTTACATCAAGACATCTCCAAAAAGGAGTGTTTCTGCAGGTGGTGACCACAGACCACTTCTCAGTATATGCTTTCTGGCTGATATTTCGGTCACTGTTGAATGTTGGTGTTTTCACTCTAGTGGTAACATGAGACAGAGTCTACAACTCACACAAGAGGCTGCAGGTAGCTCACCCACAGTTAACGCAAGATGTGGCAAGGTTGGCTGTGTCTGTCAGAGTGTCCAGAGCATTGGTGTTGCTTGCTTTTAGGGGTGCTGAAGCACTACTGAATACCTAAAGTTTGAGATTAACCCTCCCACTATCTTCATGGGTGACCCCGCAAAGAAAGTCAACCATTGAGCAGGGTTGATGGTTTATCCCTTGAGAGCAGGGGTGAGGTGGTCCTCACTCCTCACCCCTGCCACGTGGACCTCAAGGGATAAACCATTAATCCTGCTCAATGGTCAACTTTCTATGCGGGGTCACCCATGAAGAATGTGGGAGGGTTAATTAATTCAAGTTATTAACTATTTATTATTGTTATTTGTGGTTATTTTTTAAGTAACTAAAAGAACTGCAGTACATTTTATACTGTTTGTTCTTCGTCTAGACTTTTACAAGAATTATTTAATAGAAACACTTGCACTATATTTTTTTCAAACACTATGTATTTGTTGCCTTGAAAGACTGAGGAGTTTGTGCTGTCAGCTGGAAAAAATAGAACAACTCTCTCAATTCCAACAGCATTTAGGGAAGGAAAGGACGGGAGTTACTGCTCACCAGTGTCTGAAAGCTGGCACTACTTTTGGTCTTTTATATATTAATTTTCCTCCTTATATTAATAGGAACTTAAGAAATTGCAATATTTATTTTAGTCCTCTTGGGAATATTAATATTAATGAGGAAAATAAAGAGGAGTATAGATGATGAAGTAGGAAATGGATTTAGAAACACTTCCTCTAAAATCTTGAAAGAACGAGGAATTTGCACCCTCTGCTGGCCAAAAATAGAACACCACTGGTTTCCATTTAGAACGTGAGGAAAAAATGGGAGTTGCTGCCCTTCAGTGTTTGAAAGCTGTTACTGCACTTGTGTAATTTTAAACTTTAAGAATGAAAATAGCCTCCTTATTTTAATGGAGTCTTAAAAAATCTGAGTCTTTATTTTTGCCCTCTTGGGAATGTTAATATTAAGGAGAAGGTGTAGATGGAGAAGGAACTGTGGTATCTTCGGCAGTTGTTACAGAAAGTGGCACGAGTAGAGAAGAATTTTTTCCCAAGCTTTATTTTAACTGGCTTCACACGTAGCAGTCATCAACATAAATATACGTGGACATCTTCTTTCCATAGGCTCCGATATCACTTTTTTGAGGCCAAATGGGAGGTGGCCACCACCGCCATTTTGACTGTGTCACAGGTTCCGACAAGCCCAGACAATTCCATAAAAGGGAAGAGAGGTGGAGCTGAGGGTGAGGCAGTAAGGCTGGGATCAACTGACGACACCCGGCCGAACTAGCTACAAGCTAACCTGAAGCTAACCCAAAGCTAACGCGGAGGTGGGAGCTAAGCTAACGAAGGTAGCAGCCTAGCTACAACCGGAGTGAACTGTGCACAACACCAGAGCTTCTGAGTCAGAGATACGCAGGGCTGACCGCTGGGTAAAACCAGGTGGAACACAGAGGTCTCCGAGACCTCCACAAGCTGGCAGCCGCACAGCAGACAAGCGCTGCTGCGATCTGAGATGCGCAGAGCTGCCGCTGGGGAAAACCGGGTGGAAAGGTTTCAGAGAATCAGAGAGAATTTTGTTGCCAGCGCTCCAGCGAACCAGAGCATAGGAACTTGACTCCACAG